ACCCATGACCATGGAGATATAAACAGCTTTTTATAAGATAAAAATAATAAAACAAGGTCTTTGTCTGCAATGATTAGACATGTTTTTTATTATTGTCGTTAGTGATTATCTCAATTTTGGCTAAAAGAATTGACAAAATCCTACACACTGTGCCTTTAAGGTTCCCCTTTAAACGTCCTAAAGTCCTCCTTTCATCGCAGTTCGTCTCTGTTCTCACCTTAAACTGTCCCTGTTCCATCTTTTATGTTCTCCAACGTTATTAGCATTAAACGAAGGCTGTTAAAGAAGCAGAGATTTGATTAATGGGCCACTTCCTGATTGTCAACCTGTTCCTTTAGGTGGCTTCAGCTGAGCTGGTTGCTGCCTACAGTCATTGTTTCTGCTGGGAAAGCTGCCTGATCGATGAGCTTCACTTATTAAATATCACAATATTGATTAAAAATAGTTCAACCGTGGCGTTCTAATGAAGTAAGTTCATAAACGGTACTTTTCCAGTCAAACGTCTGCAGGGATCTGTTAACTTATTGCCACTTAAATCAGCAGCACTCATGTTTTCTATTTAAAACTTTGCAGCACCATCGGCTGCACGTCCTCCTGTGATGTATTTTTATAGTTTTTCACCTCATCTGAAGTCAAAAGGCACCAAACTAGAGAGAGAAAATATTTTTTGTAGAGCATTGTTCTTCTGAGCATTGTGAAAATAACTCTGTGACGTATATTAAACATAAAAACACAAAGTTAGGTCACTTTTTCACAGCCTGTAAAATGTAGAAACCTGTACCTGACTTAATGTTTCACAGTGTAAAGTTTGTAGTTTGTTCCAATTTGATTACGATTCATTATAAAATGAGTCAATGAATATTAAATATGACTTATAACTTTGAAAACAGCAAAATATTAATATTTGAAAATGTTAAGGAGTAAGTGTTTTCTGAAATGAGCAGTTCTCATGTTAAGCTGAGTTGCTTCAGAAAAAAAACGACATTGTTAGTTAACGAGCTGTTAAAATCCCTGATGGTCTCTTTTTAAGATATTTTTCTACAAGCAGGCGTCATACCTGGCAGGTGCTGGATCACTGATGCCTGTGGTGTCTTTCTTTGTGACAGTGAGCACATTTCTCTGCTGTTCTGACCTGCTGCCACAGGAAACACTTTGTTCTGTCTAAATAAAGCAGATGTTTTATTACCTGGGCTCTCGTCTTGCTTCCTGTTCTTCCACCTCTCACACAAACTCAGCCGAACTTCTTCTGTTTTCTGCAGCAAACCCAGAGACCTGACCGACTCTGCTGTATGACATCATGACTCTGCTGTATGACATCATGAGTGTTGTAGCCTGAGCGAGGTCATTTCTTTTGATCGACGCTGGTGATTGGCTGGCCTCTATCCTGGTTGGATTCTTCGCCTTCTGCTCCTCCAATCACTGAAGAGGCTTGCCTCTTAAGCCCAGCTCTTCAGCCAATCAGGGCAGCTTTAGGAGGAGTCAGAAGCTAGCCAATCAGACGTGTTGCTGCACAGCAGAGCCAGCACATCACCGGTCTGAAAAGGCTAGCTAAATGTATCAAAAAGGCTAGCTAGAAGGCAAAAGTCTAACTGAAAGCTAACAAAATGCTAACTAAAAGGTAAAACTAGCAAAAAGCTGGTGCATTTTTAAAGTTGTGCCAGTTCATTTAAGCAACGTTGTACGACGGTGTATTAAAGCTACTTTGCAGATAAAAAAAGAGCAAATCTCTGAGAAAAAACCCAGAATTTCTGAGATTAATTTCAGAAATTTTCAAGAAAAAACAAGGAAATTCTCTGAGCTCCAAGTCGTAAATTTGTGAGAAAAAACTCAATTTCTGAGATCAATTTCAGAAATTTGAGAAAAAAAAAAAACAACAAACAAACAGGAAATTATCTTGTTGAAATATCGCAAATTTGCAAAAAAAAAACCAAACCTCAAATTTCTATAATTGAAGGCAGAAATTTGCAACATATAAATAAATATTTTCTGACCTGGTAAAGTCAGAAATTTACTATAAAAATCTTGTAAATTTATGAGAAAAAACCTGAAGTTTCAGGAATGGCTAAAGGGCGATTCCACCTGTTCTCACTACCATCTTTCATTTGCTCTAGTTTAAAAACTAAAACATGTAAAGACCTCAAACCTGGACTGGATTATTCTACACTGATTGCAGAATATTTTAAACCAAGAGTGTGATTTGTGAAGCATAGATTTGATACGTGAAGCTTCAGTATGTGGTGGTTTCAGCACTTTTTATGCATTGAACAAGCATGGCCCGATAGAGTATTATGCTGCGTTCACACCGAATGTGGTTTAGGTGTTAAAAACAAACACTTCAAGTTGTGCACTTTGATGTCAGACACTCTTCACAATTGCTTGACGTGTTCAGAGCCTTCTCTGTAGGTCAGATGAAATACAGAAAGTGGCTTTGCTTTATTCACTGAGAGCAAGAGCACCTCACGCTCACCAGATAATTTGTAACATGAAATAAACACATTGTGGTTCGTCATTTTAATCTCAGTTCAAAACTTTATTTCAGCTTTATTATGCTAACAGTATATACAGAGAGGTGCATTATCAGCACGAGAATAATGTACATATGTAACAATGTAAAAACAGCATGAGATGGTGTCAAAAAGAAAAAGTACACTCAGATATCAGTGATGAAGGTCAAAGATGTTTATCCTCTGTTCTGAGTGACCCAGTTATACAAACCTGCAATCAGACTCAACCAATAAAAACAGCACTAAAAGCACAAATAATATTAATAAATCAGAGTTGTGTTTCTGATCTGTTCATGAACGTGAGCTCACCCTTAAATAAAACAGAAAAAAATATTTTTCATTCATCCACTCGACCATCTTCAGTTCAATGGAAATATTTAACGCGCACAAAAAAAAAAAAAAACAACCTCAAAACAATTTCTCCCTATGAACAAAACCAAGCTAAAAGGCCATTTTGTTTCAGTAAATTAAGTTTAATTAAAAGTAAATAAGTGTCCAACAAAAGACAATCTACTCTAACAAAACCAGTTAGCCTTATTTAAATCTAAACATTCAAACATTTGCTGTATTTCCTGCTGTATTATCAATAAATGCCATTATTAGTAATAATTCTTAAGCACTGGCCTTGATTGGAGTCAGAAAACAAACTCTGGTACCTGTACAAGGCCATGGGAACTAGGAGTGCTGAGAGCGCTACAGCACCCCCTTCAGCCTCCTGCTTGGTGGTGCAGGTTTTCACAGCACCCCTTATGCACCTATCAAACAGATGTGAACTATATTTGACACTAATAATTTAGAGCAAAAAGACATAAAAGTAGATTCAAAGTTTACTACCTGAACGTTAAAGACAAATTTACAAAATAAAAAAAAATCCTCTCATGCAACTTTGTGAAAATGATGAAAAAAGATATTTTCTAATCTCAGTCTCGCTGTAGCTTTAATTTATTGAACAGCAAAGAAATTAGAAATCAGATTGTCACAGAGTATGGTAGTTTAGGTAACGAGCCATTCAAACAGGTATTTTTGGCACCAAGTATGGCAGGCTGTGTAATCATATAATTAAATCACCTTTCTATCACTTTTTACTATTTTAGATTTCAATAACAGACTTTCTCCTGGTCATAATAAAAATATTTACAATAATGTGTAAAGAAAAAAAGAAATTCTAATTTTACTAATAAAATAAGTTAAAATCTACCTAAATAATCCATGACTTAA